GAGAGAGAGAGAGAGAGAGAGAGAGAGAGAGAGAGAGAGAGAGAGAGGAAGAGAATCGTTGATGTCAATTCCAATCTCAATCGTCGACGATGACTTGCGCGCGCCGTACACGCCACGAGACGTCACGACGTCATTGAAGCGCTGATGGAGCGACGCAAGTCTCCTGCGGGCCTGCGCGCGCGCGCGCGCGCAACACTCACCTGGGCGGAACTCTCCTGCTGAGGACGAAAAAGCTATTGTCGGCCGTAGCCTCGAGGTGGATGGTGGTGACGTCGGTGGAATCGCTAGGAATGGCTTTCCTCAGATTGACTTCGGTGGGTGTGGGGACGGCTTCCATGCCGAGATAGGCACCCGCAAGTCCCGTAGCCGCATGCGTTTGCTTTCCCCAAGCTAGCGGAGTGCCGTTGGCCGTGAGGGCTAGGGAATGATGCGAGCCGGCTGCAATCTTTACAATGGGCACGCCGCGCAGCGATGGCAGTTCGAAGAGCGTGGTGTTGTAGCGAATGGAGAGGGCATGCTCCAAATCTTCGTCTTGCGTCATCACGCTTCTGCGTGCGCGAGGTAAAGGTTGAGGTGGTCTGTAGCCTTCCATACCGGGCGGCAATGCCCAATCCGGCAAACCGCGCACAGCATGCGGATCTCGAGGAGCCAAAAGATCCACGCCACCACCACCTGCCTCTCTGTCCCCTGCAACCTGCTGCGGCTGTTGATCTCTAAACGCACCAAGTTCAAACCTTCTCTCTTCCGTCGAGCCCCTCTGTCCAAGCGCGTGCGACCTCTTTCCGATCCAAAACCTCGTCGTTCCGCACTGTCCATACTCGTTTCCCGCTCCGTCTGTGCTGCTCACAAACACCCTGCCATGCGAGGAGAGGGCCAACAAGTGAGAAGCGCCATTGCGGATATCGATGATCTTTTCGTCTTTGGGTAGGCAAAAGCCCAGAGATTGCACGGGTAGAGGCGCTCTTTTGGTCGCGTTCGATGACCCTGCTGCTGCTGCTGCTGCTGTTGCTGCTGCTGCTGCCGCACTGCCTTGTCCTCGCGAAGCTACGGCGCTCTGACTGAGCAGAGGCACATTGCGATCGATCTGTTTGAATTCGTACTTTTCGTAATCGATCTCGTCCGATGTGCGCAGATTGAACAGTTTGAACGGGTTTGTGCTCCAGGCGACCTGTTTGCGATGCGCATCCTGCAAGCTCTGCAATGCGGAAAAGACGTAGACCTGACCTGTTTTGCTCAGCGCAAACACCTTTTCATCATTGGCCGTGACCTTGATGATATCCTTTCCCTGCAACGTCTTGACCGGAGCTCTCGCTCGCGTCTCTTTCGACCTTGGCACCAGCTCGTTTGCCCTTTCCTTTTCCCTCCTACGAGCCAGCGGCACCTCGTCCAGTGCGCCCACTACGCCCTTGAGAACATCGCGCGAGGAGCTGTCGAAGAATCCCAAGCCCCACTGGTACACGTCCCCTGCAGCATCCACGCAGACGCCGTGCTTCTCCATCAAGGCGATGGAGCGCAAAGCCATGCCTTGAAAGTAGGAGATGGGTCTAGGCGTCTTGACCAGCGTAAGAGAGGGCGCGTCGGGCGCCACCACCAGGTACCTTTGCAAGCCAAGTGGGGTGCGCGCGGGCGAAAGCGAAGCTTAGCACCACGCTCATCAACCTGCTCTCCAACTTGAATTCTCCCAACCCTCACCCTCCGCCTACTCACCGATTACCGCCCCAAGCATGAACGCCCAAGCTATCCGCTCTATCCCTCATCAACTCCTGCTGACTCTTCTCCACCTCTTGCGCATCCCTTTGGCCCTCTGCATCCCCATCCAGCGTGCCATACCCTCCATCGATGCCAGCCAACGCCGCCGCCGCCGCCGCCGCCGCGGCATGAGAGGCGGTGTGCGGTGCAGCGTCGAGGAAGAGGGAGTGGCAAAAGGTGAGGGAGATGCCGGTGGTTAGCGCGAGGGAGAGCAGCAGCGTACGTGCGTCGAGTGCGTGATTGCGCGCATCACTCTCGCCGCCGCCGCTCCTGCTGCTGCTGTACATTCGACGCGCATGCGTGGTGGTGGAAAGGTGGAGGCGGAGGGGCGATGCGCTGTGCTTCGCTGTTTGATCACGAGTCGATGCGGCATGCTTTGTATCAGCGGTCATCCTACCACACCCCGCAATCCTCTGCCTCTGCCCCTGCCCCATCCCGTAGCGAGACGCAACGCCATGCACCGCCCTCGCACCGGTCAGTGTCTGACCAGCTCTGAGCGCAAGAGAAGCGCGTCTGGCAGCAGCAGCAGCAGCAGCAGCAGCAGCAGCTGTGCATACCTTTGCGCTTCTGCTCTTTGGCATGTGCGCGTACAGGTTGGCAGAGAAGGAGGATGAGAAGCGTGCGGGGCGTTGAAGGCTTGCTTTCGCTGGCAGGGAGAGTGTGGTGCTTGAGCGAAGAGGCAACATGCTGCGGATGCGGCCGTGGCACGCGGGGTGGGGCGTTGGATGGGTCTGTTGTTGTGGAATGACAATGACAATGGTGGAAATGGCAAGGGGAGATGCGCAAGGCTGGATAGCAAGCTGAGGGTGCTGCCAGCCAACTTGCACCCCCTCACGCACAACGCACAGCACAGGCGCAAATAAGCTACGCAACCCTCATTACTAAGCCCCGCATAACCTGCACATTCACGTGACCACCCAGCCATGCATGCGCGCGACGGCGAAACCGTCGACCCGCCCGCGCGCGAGGAGCAAACGCAAACCCAGCCAGCAGCATATCAAGCCTCTTCCATCGTAGTCGTAGTCGTAAGTCACGACGAGTGTCACGTGTTGCTCCTCCACAAGGCTTGATGAATCAACTCGAGCGCACATTCACACGAAATTTGTGCTCAAGAGTATCTTTGCGGCGCGCATGTCAAACAGTCCATGCACTCACCATCACACTCTTGACTATCGATCACGCATTCCTTTGATGGCCCTCGCGCGTACAATACTTCAAATCAAGAATCAAGAATCTTCAAGCAACTCAACCGCGCGCGCGCGCATTCAAGCATTTTGAAATTCAATCACAATCACGTGAATCGAATCGCAACACTCCATCAAAACCACTCAAGATGGCTGGCAGTCCGGGCTTTGACGATTCACGATTCAATTCCAACGCAAGCCCATGCGTGATGCGTGATTGCTCGATGCTTGATTGCGATTTTGACTTTTGAAGATTCGCACTCGAGCGATTCAAAGTTACTACGCGTTCCCTTTATCCATCGGATCCCCCTTGCATGCGTCCATACATGCCCTCTGATCCCACATCCCCACATCCCCAAGTCTAAAGTCTCGAGTCTCAAAAGGCTCACAAAACCAGCTCCTCCTCCTGCAGGGCGCTCAGATTCTCGATAAACTTTTGCGAGAAGCGCGCAACTCACCCCCGCTCGCACTCAACATTCG